TTATTATTATTATACAGTATTTATATAACGCCAATAGTTTGCTTAGCGCTGTACATTATAATGGGAGACAGTACACGAGACAGTACAGTAACAATACACGAGGTGTTCGAGGGCCCTGCTCCTTGGAGCTTACAATCTAGGAGGGAGGGGAGGTGGTACAGGAGGAAATAGCTGTGGGGGATGGAGTGGTGGGAAGAGCGGAGGAGATCAGCAATTAGGTGAGGGCTCAGTAGGCTTCTCTGAAGAGATGGGTTTTCAGTGTTCGCCTAAAGGTGAGGAGGGTAGGTGACAGTCTGATGGATTGGGGTAGTGAGTTCCAGAGGATGGGGGAAGCCCTGGAGAAGTCCTGGAGACAGGCATGGGAGGAGGAGACCAGGGAACTGGAGGGTAGGAGGTCTTGTGAGGAGCGGACAGTGCGTTTTGGGTGGTAGATGGATATCAGGTCGGTGATGTAGTTTGGGGCAGTGTTATGAACAGCTTTGTACGTCAATGTTAATATTTTGACTCATTGGGCAGTCGGAAGCCAGTGGAGGGATTGGCAGAGGGGGAGGTGGATATGGAGCGGTTGGTGAGGTGGATGAGTCTGGCTGCAGAATTCAGGATAGACTGAAGTGGCGATAGCCTGTGTTGGGGTAGGCCGGCAAGGAGGGAGTTGCAGTAGTCAAGTCGTGATATAATAAGGGAGTGGATGAGTTGCTTTGTGGTTTCTGGGGTTAGGAACGTGCGTATTTTGGAGATGTTGCAGATGTGGAGTCTGCATGAATTTGTCAGCAATTGGATCTGGGGCTGGAAAGACAGATTGGAGTCTAGAATGACACCTAGTACTTTGGCTGTGGGGTGGGGCTGATGGTGGTGTTGTTTGTCGCGATGGAGAGGTCGGGGGGGGGGATGCGGGCTGGGGGAGAAGACTAGGAGCTCGGTTTTGGAAAGGTTTAGTTTAAGGAAGTAGAGTGACATCCAGTCTGATATGTTGTTCAGAAGGCTAGTGATTCGTGCAGAAACTGAAGGGGTGAGGCGAGGGGTGGTGTCAGGGATCCTGCAGTGGTAGCCTCTAGCACTCCACAGACCGGAATCCCCCAAGGCACGGAATCTAAGCTCCGACCTGCTTGTTGCACCAGAGCCCCTGATGGTGGGGATGGACTTGGAGCAGGCCGAGACCAGGTCGCAGCCCCTGGGTTCACCCAGCTGTGGTAGAGGCACCGTTGAAGGTGTATAGCGGGTAAGAGTCTGATGTGAGGAGGTAACTGAAGCAGCGTCGGGCAGGCCGGGTCGGTAACAGTGGTGGCGGTGTAGTACAGAATCAGCAGGCAGAGGGATAAACAGGTCACAAGGGGGTTCGTCAACAGGAGGTCAGAACGTATGGGGTTAAGCAGGGAAAATGGTCAGACAAAGCCAGGGATCAGAGCAGGAGACGGACAGCAAATCAGGATCAGGCAGGGTCGGCAACAAACAATCTACTCACAGGAACTCAGGAACACAGATAAGACCATACGGTACTTGAGCATTGCAAGAGCTGGGTTTAAATAGTCCGCCCGACTCCTGACAGGCGCTCCTGGGTCCTAGTGCTTGCCCAGCGCCGTCATTTGTGACAGGCACCTGCCTGGGTCCTAGTGCCCGCCTGCCTGTAGGTTTTGTCAGGATTCTACACATGTGCAGATTCGATCGCTGCAGCAATCTTCCCATTCCCTGACAGGTGGAGAGATAGATTTGAGTGTCATCAGCATAGAGATGGTAGTTGAAGCCATGGGAGTGTATCAGTTGACCAAGGGAGGAGGTGTAGATGGAGAAGAGAAGGGGCCTGAGGACAGAACCTTGGGGGACCCCAACAGAGAGGGGGAGTGAGGGGGAGGTGGTAGTGTTATAGGTAACACTGAAGGAGCGTTGTGATAGATAGGAAGAGAGCCAAGAGAGAGTGAAGTTCTGAGGCCAAAAGAGTATAGTTTTTTGAGGAGGAGGGGGTGGTCGACCGTGTCGAAAGCCGTAGAGAGGTCGAGGAGTAACAGCACTGAGTAGTGGCCTTTGGCTTTGGTGGTTAGCAGGTCGTTGGTGAGTTTGAGTAGGGCGGTTTAAATGGAGTGTAGTGGACAGAAGCCAGATTGTAGGGGATCGACGAGGTTGTTCTCTGTGAGGTGGGAGCTTAGGCAAGTTCAGGCTAAGCGCTCAAGGAATTTGGATGAGAATGGCAGCAGGGAGATGGGTCTAAGGTTGTTTAGGTCAATGGGATTCAGGGAGGGTTTTTTAAGTATGGGAGTGATGTGCGCGTGCTTCAGAGGGGAGGAGAATGTGCCAGTAGAGAGGGAGAGATTGAAGATGTGAGTGAGGGAGTGTAGGATGGAGGAGGGTGATCAGGGGGGGTTGTGTGGGGACAGGGTCAAGGGGGCAGGTGGTAAGTCGAGCTTCAGAGAAGACCTTAGTGACCTCTTCAGTGGTAGCAGGGTTGAAGGAGTGGAGTGTTGGGGGGGGTGGGGGGGTTTGAGTGTGGGGAATGTTGGGCGGGGTAGAGGTCTCTACAGTGCGAGGTCGAACGGGAGGAGTGTTGAGGTGGTTTTCGTGTGAGGGATGCTAGGTGGGGTGGAAGTCTAAGCAGTGGTGATGTCCCTGCGAATTGCGTCGATCTTGCTTTGGAAGTTGTTAGCAATCTCGTGGGTGGTGAGTGAGGTACTGGGTGGAGGTGGGGAAGGAGAGAGCAGAGAGTTGAAGGTGGAGAAGAGCCAGCGAGGGCTGGAAGAGAGGGTATTGATGAGGGTTACAAAGCAGGCTTGCTTTGGCAGTGTGGAGGGAGGAAGTGTAGGTGAGGAAGGCGGATTTATATTGGGTGAACGCTTGTTGGGATCTGGTTTTGAGCCATAGTCGCTCTAGTGCACGACTGTGTCACTTGAGGTTTTTAAATGAGGACAGTTTCCATCTCTAGCACACTGCTCTGAGGAAAGGAGTTCGACTCCTGAAACGCGTTGGCACTTTTTACCCAAGGACCTCTGCTGTCCGCGATTGTCATCTTTGGCTCCTTGTCTCTGTTTTTATGACCTTTTTGGTTTGTGAGTATGTATCTGTAATTGTACAATTAATTTCCTATTTATCATGGTAATGCACAAGGAGAGTGCACCCTATTTTATTCTTTTTTTTGCCAGTGTCAACAGACTCCCCGATCTATCAAGGGCAGCACCTTAGTGAGTGCTAGATTCCATGTTTTCTGTGCAGCATGAAGATTTGAGCGCTGGTTTCTGGTATCTGTTGGAGTTCCATCTCTAGCACATTGCAAAACTGACAGATATTTGATGTGTTTCAAAAATGACAGATATTTGACTGTGTCCTCTTATGAGGAAGTCCAGAAGTGACGAAACGCATCAAGGGACGTGACGCTGGACGTTGCACGGGAACCGGAAGTGCGGCCATCTTTATTGAGGTTATTCTGCGTTTCGGCGTTCCAGGAAGCTGCTCATGGCTGGAAAATGGGAATATATGCGTTTTAATCAATTTAAGAGTGTCAGCACATTTAATAAATTATCTGGATCTTTTTAAGTGAATATATTACACCATGTGGCTATTTCTTCTATCTATGAATGGCAATGTGTGATATGAAGGGATGAATGGAATGAAGGGAAAACCTGAAATTTGAATTGGAGCCTGGAATTCAATCCTGGGAGCTATTTCTATGTTGGAATTAGAAACCATGGGATTACTTTGAAGGCTTTTTTCATACCTATTTAAGGTAATTGTATGCAATTCAGTCACCTAGAAGTGTTCACAGAGTGTTCACAAATAATGTGTATATAGAAGTGTACGCAGAGTGTTTCACGATTTCACGTGTTCTAATTTTGAGTTTTTTGATTTGCATGGTAAAAAAAATTATGGATTATATTTAATTAGATTTAATCACTGTAAACTGAGGATAATACACTATTCAGTTTTCTTTTTCTTTGGAGGTATACGTTTTTTTTTAAATACACGGGGTTGATGAAGCAGAATTTGGATGAATAATTGTTTGAAATTTCAGACTTTTTTTGTATATTTTTTTTTTCACTGACACTGGAAAGGTTTATTATTTATAAACTTTATTCACTCCCGGGCACAGGCACGATCAAGTACATGTATGTGTCCTCTCATCAATATTTATTTCTCATCCAATCTTTAAAGGGACTCAAAAATAAAAAATAGTATAATACTGTACAGTAATTTTGTTAACCTCCATAGTGGTATGATTATGTTAATATTTCTGTGCTCATAGCGGTACATTTTTTTTGCATGGAAATATGTTGTTTTTTTATTGTAGGCTTGTAATTTTTAGGAATAACTCACTGAAATCTGTCCGAGCAAGAGTCTAGTAAACATCCCGGGTATGATAAAATTTGAAACACGAAATCATAAATTATAATATAGTAAATAATCATAAAAAATAATAATATAATAATAATAAAAAAATGTAATTCAATAGTATAATCAAATCAAAAACACTGAAATTTGAAATATAGCGCCAAGTTCGCACATCACTGAGCAAAGTCGCAGAATCGTTTTCAGTGTCTGATGCCGAATTTCCCCACAAATCATTATCACTCAATTCTGCAAGTAGTTCTAATTTACTATCGCTGTTCTCTAGCTGGTCTAAAACCGCTTTTGACCTAAAGGGATGCTTTTTGGACGCCATGGACTTTTTTAAGTTTCAAGGCAGCAAGAACAGTAAAAATGCAGGCAGGCCACAGGACAAAGCACTCGGGACAAAATGTATGTGAAATGCTTTGGTACAATAATGTTATACTACCGTATGTGATTTTAGTGTATTTAGTAAATGTCACTAGAGATGAGCGAATTATTCAAAAATTCGATTCGACTGATTCGGCGAATTCGTGAAAAAATTTCGATTCGAGTCGAATATATTCGCTGCGAATTTAACTTATAAAAAGGTGTTTCTAGGCTTCAGAGAGCCTTTATATTAGTGCGGAACACTGTACCTTTAATTTAAATGCCCTTGGAGTCTGCTGGGGAAGAGAAATAATACTATCAGTCAGTATGACATGCAGATGAGTGCCGTCGATCTTAGAATCACCGCACACTTCACTCATTTGGGCAGTCACGGGGCCAAAACCAGAGTGTGAAGCCACAGTGTGGCGGTGGAGGCAGCAGCAATGGGAGGCCATACAGCACCCTATGACAAAATGGAACCCACCAGCAGTGTGAGGAGACCTGAAAGTGGCACATGGCAGAGTGTGGCGATGGAGACAGCAGCAATGGGAGGCCGTACAGGGACCCATGAGACACTCTGGACCTGGCAGCAGCATGAGGAGGCGGTACGGGGGCCCATGGCAGATTACGGGCCTGGCAGCAGCAATGGGAGGCCGTATAGGGACCCATGACACACTCTGGACCTGGCAGCAGCATGAGGAGGCGGTACAGGGGCCCATGACAGAATACGGGCCTGGCAGCAGCATGAGGAGTCGGTACGGGGGCCCATGACACACTCTGGACCTGGCAGCAGCATGAGGAGGCGGTACAGGGGCGCATGACAGATTACGAGCCTGGCAGCAGCAACTTGGACAGGAGGACGTTCAGCTTCTGCACCGTCGGGTGCGTGCTCGCAAACTGTTGTCTCTTGGAAACGGATTCCAAGAAAGACTGCTGACGGAATCCGTGAAGAGGAGTAGCAGGAGAAGGAGCATCTGAACGAGCGGAATATGCCAACAAGCGACAACAGGGGCCCATGACAGATTACGGGCCTGGCAGCAGCATGAGGAGTCGGTACGGGGGCCCATGGCAGATTACGGTCCTGGCAGCAGCAATGGGAGGCCATACAGCACCCTATGACAAAATGGAAACCCACCAGCAGTGTAAGGAGACCTGAAAGTGGCACATGGCAGAGTGTGGCGATGGAGACAGCAGCAATGGGAGGTGGTACAGGGACCCATGAGACACTGTGGACCTGGCAGCAGCATGAGGAGGCGGTACAGGGGCCCATGGCAGATTAAGGCCTGGCAGCAGCAATGGGAGGCCCGTAATCTGCCAGCACCCTATGACAAAATGGAACCCTGGGCTGGGGCAGGCAGAACCGCCGTATCTTTATCACGGTTTTCCCAGGCCACCGAATGGCGACGCTGCATATGCTGACGCAACGCTGTAGTCCCAACATGGGCCCCCTGGCCACGCTTGACTTTCTGGCCACATAGTCGACATACGGCTACGTTTACTTCCTCGGGCGGCTTGACGAAAAATTGCCACACCGCCGAGTAGGAAACTTTGCCCCGCTAATCCTCACTGGCTGACTGCTACTTCCTCTGTTCACACCGGCACCACTACTGGCCGTGGTGGTAGGCTGCAGTGGAGCTGGTGCTCTACTCCGTGGCTGTTTGCCTCCACTGACACTGCTGCGACCCTGCTGCCTCCTGGCAGCAGCAATGGGGAGGAGGAGGCGGTACAGGGGCCCATGGCAGATTAGGGGCCTGGCAGCAGCAATGGGAGGCCCGTAATCTGCCAGCACCCTATGACAAAAAACGGAACACACCAGCAGTGTGAGGAGACCTGAAAGTGGCACATGGCAGAGTGTGGCGATGGAGACAGCAGCAATGGGAGGCCGTACAGGGACCCATGAGAGACTCTGGACCTGGCAGCAGCATGAGGAGGAGGTACAGGGGCCCATGGCAGATTACGGGCCTGGCAGCAGCAATGGGAGGCCCGTAATCTGCCAGCACCCTATGACAAAAAATGGAACACACCAGCAGTGTGAGGAGACCTGAAAGTGGCACATGGCAGAGTGTGGCGATGGAGACAGCAGCAATGGGAGGCCGTACAGGGACCCATGAGAGACTCTGGACCTGGCAGCAGCATGAGGAGGCGGTACGGGGGCCCATGGCAATTACGGGCCTGGCAGCAGCAATGGGAGGCCCGTAATCTGCCAGCACCCTATGACAAAAAATGGAACACACCAGCAGTGTGAGAGGAGACCTGAAAGTGGCACATGGCAGAGTGTGGCGATGGAGACAGCAGCAATGGGAGGCCATACAGGGACCCATGAGACACTGTGGACCTGGCAGCAGCATGAGGAGGCGGTACAGGGGCCCATGGCAGATTAGGGGCCTGGCAGCACAGCAATGGGAGGCCCGTAATCTGCCAGCACTCTATGACAAAATGGAAACACACCAGCAGTGTGAGGAGACCTGAAAGTGGCACATGGCATGACACACTGTACAGGGACCTGGCTGGAGCAGCATGAGGAGGCGGTACAGGGGCCCATGGCAGATTAGGGGCCTGGCAGCAGCTATGGGAGGCCCGTAATCTGCCAGCACCCTATGACAAAAAATGGAACACACCAGCAGTGTGTGAGGAGACCTGAAAGTGGCACATGGCAGAGTGTGGCGATGGAGACAGCAGCAATGGGAGGCCGTACAGGGACCCATGAGAGACTCTGGACCTGGCAGGCAGCAGCATGAGGAGGCGGTCGGTACAGGGGCCCATGGCAGATTAGGGGCCTGGCAGCAGCTATGGGAGGCCCGTAATCTGCCAGCACCCTATGACAAAAAATGGAACACACCAGCAGTGTGTGAGGAGACCTGAAAGTGGCACATGGCAGAGTGTGGCGATGGAAGACAGCAGCAATGGGAGGCCGTACAGGGACCCATGAGACACTCTGGACCTGGCAGCAGCATGATGAGGCGGTACAGGGGCCCATGGCAGATTAGGGGCCTGGCAGCAGCATAGGAGGCCCGTAATCTGCCAGCACCCTATGACAAAAAATTGAACACACCAGCAGTGTGAGGAGACCTGAAAGGGCACACTTGGCATGACACACTGTGGACCTGGCAGCAGCATGAGGAGGCGGTCGGTACAGGGGCCCATGGCAGATTAGGGGCCTGGCAGCAGCAATGGGAGGCGCCGTAATCTGCCCAGCACCCTATGACAAAAATGGAACACACCAGCATGTGAGTGAGGAGACCTGAAAGTGGCACATGGCAGAGTGTGGCGATGGAGACAGCAGCAATGGGAGGCCGTACAGGGTACCCATGAGACACTCTTGGACCTGGCAGCAGCATGAGGAGCCCAATGCGGTATAGGGTGCCCATGCAGTGTTACGGGGCCACTGGGCAGCAGCAATGGGAGGCCCTGTAATCTGCCAGCACCCTATGACAAAAAATGGAACACACCAGCAGTGTGAGGAGACCTGAAATGGCACATGGCAGAGTGTGGGGCGATGGAGACTGCAGCGTAAATGGGAGGCCGTAACAGGGACCCATGACTCCACCTGGGACCTGGCAGCAGCATGAGGAGGCGGTACAGGGGCCCATGGCAGATTAGGGGCCTGGCAGCAGCTATGGGAGGCCCGTAATCTGCCAGCACCCTATGACAAAAAATGGAACACACCAGCAGTGTGAGGAGACCTGAAAGTGGCACATGGCAGAGTGTGGCGATGGAGACAGCAGCAATGGGAGGCCGTACAGGGACCCATGAGAGACTCTGGACCTGGCAGCAGCATGAGGAGGCGTATAGGGGCCCATGGCAGATTAGGGGCCTGGCAGCAGCTAATGGGAGGCCCGTAATCTGCCAGCATGACCAAAAAATGGAACACACCAGCAGTGTGAGGAGACACACATGGCATCCATGGTGAGTGTGGCGATGGAGACTGCAGCAAGGGGCGTACAGGGCATGAGAGACTGTGGACCTGGCAGCAGCAATGAGGAGGCGGTATCTATAGGGGCCCATGGCAGACTTTATGGGGCCTGGCAGCAGCTATGGGAGGCCCGTAATCTGCCATGGCACCCTATGACAAAAAAAATGGGAAACACACCAGCAGTGTGAGGAGACCTGAAAGTGGCACATGGCAGAGTGTGGCGATGGAGACAGCAGCATCGGGAGGCCGGTTACAGGGACCCATGAGAGACTTGGACCTTGGCTAGCAGCGAAGAGAGCGCATGGGTGGTCTCGGTACTGGGGGCCCATTGGCAGATTCCGAGGCCTGGCACTAGCAGCAATGGGGATGGTACCGTAATCTCCACAGCCACCTCTAAATGACAAAAATGGAACCCACCAGCATTGTGAGGAGACTTGAAACACAGTAGCACATGGCCAGAGTGTGGCGATGGAGCCAGCAGCAATGGTATGAAAAAAATGGAACACACCAGCAGTGTGTGTGAGGAGACCTGAAAGATGGCACATGGCAGAGGTGGGCGATGGAGGGAACAGCACGCAATGTGGAGGCCGTACAGTGGACCATGAGAGACTGTGGACCTGGCAGC